AAGGAGACCAACAGCTTTTGCAGCAGCGAGAACGTGTCACACAGATGACCAACTGAGATGCCACATGCATCCCCTCTTCTGTGCCAAAAGCAGACTTCAGCTCTTTGAGTAAGCAGCTCTTTGCAGCAGAGATGCAGATGGGGAGCAGAAGGCAGCATCTCCCCCAGGACATGCTCTTAATATTTAATGCGACATCAGAACAGTGCCAAGTGATCCAAGCTTACGCAGAGTTTTCTACAACAGAAAGACAGACGCAGCCAAGGATTGTCTTAGTTCGAAAGAAAAACACACAAAAGCTGAAGAGCAAAGTGCTAATTTGTATTTCTGAAGCATGTACTCCAGCAACTCCCTCATCTGTCTGCTCTTTACACAACATTGATGGTTCGCTCTTTGCGACCAGATCTGCAGCCAGTAGTGTAATGGACAGGGTTTGGTACTTAAATGCCTTAATTAGATATGAAAACAATTAGAGAAGACTATTCTCTTCTAACATCCACAGGCCTCAGCACAGATAGAAAATGGGGCAAACCCATCCCATTATGTCTGTTTAAGTTGTTTTGGAAGCTTGACAGATGGAAAGGAGGACAGCCCAACTGGAACGCTGCGCCATAAAGTAATCGTCTAAAGAGATGCAGAAGACAGCACAGTCATAGGACAATTACAAATCCTTCATAATTGCTTATTCTGGCAAAGAGAGCCCCAAGGGAGCAGCCACTGCCATGCTACTGCTCAGATACACACTTAAGCTCTCCAGAGAAAAATTCCCACCCGGCACTTTGGCAGCATTTCCACAGTACAGATGCCAGAGCCAACTTCCAGAGAAGGGCTGAGGAAGATGAGAGAAAACAGCTTGCACTTAAGTTTTGGGGGGACAGACACAAGAGATGAGCTTGAGCCAACCCTGGTTCTGCCCATTAACCTTCCAGGCAGATAGAAACACTACAAAGGGCAGATTCATAACACAATGAAGAAAAAAAGCTTGATCAAGGAGTAACATGAACATGTGTCAACAGACAGTGTAGATACACGCTTAGCGGGATACAGACTGGAAAGCGGTAGGTGCTTTTGGTGACATGGCATGTCTCAGGTCCCTTTTTTGTTGCTGAGAACTCCACAAAAAAACCCCCCTTCCCTCCCACCCCCAAACGTTCTCCAGCCACATCCAGCTTTGGCCAACTTCATATTTCTTCAAAGAGTGTCCAGAGAACACAGTCCAGCAGCAGTTTCTAAAGCAGCCAAATATGATACGCAAAAGTTTACAACCAGTTCCAGTCTTTTGGTACAGCTGGGGATATGAACTCTTTGGGGAGAACTGTCTGACCTACAGTATTTCTTTTCAGAGCAGTTCACACAGGTCTTCAGGAAGTGTGCATCATGTCCCACAGTCTTTGGGCTCATCTTGAAGCATTTCACCAGATGGCAAGCTCTGAAGCAAACCAGCTGAATTCATTTACTCCATCCCCATCCTTCCGCAGCAAATGCAGTGATGCATATCCAACCAGAGCTTGACATTTATTAATAGCTTCAAATGTTGACGCCAGAGAATTTGGGGATTGTTGCTAGTGAAGTTGTCAGATTCGCTTCCTAAGCAATCTAGACAGTGCTATGCTGCCTGTTCAGCAGTCCATGTTTTCATCAACTTTCCTTAATTTACATGGAGAAACACATCTATTTCCATACATAGCGTGTCAACAGTATTTTTGAAGGCAACAAAATAAGTCTCAGACCAACAAACTATTCAGGTATAAATCCAATTTTAATTGTCAAGCTAAGTTCTAGCTCCTACATTCAACGCAAGGATCAAAAACTACAAGTTTGAGGGTAGAAGTTTATTCTGTTCCCAAGTTTCTGATTGCTTTGGCAGCTGTCAAAAGGTAACTTCCAAAATCCACTTGTTTCAGAAGCTTTTTACTGCCAGGTGAACATCTCGGACTCTTAACAGCTATCAACATCTTTCAAACCCAGTTCTTTGGCAACAGTTACACATAGCATTGTGCGTATATAAAGAGCTTATAATAAAACTTCTTTTACATTCTAATTGTCTTAACCTTCACAGAAGTGTTAAAGTGCTCAATCAACTCTGAACAAACTCTCCTTCCTTAGTTAGCCTACTTCCTGGAAACGCCTGCACTTAAGTCAGCAAAACCAGAGGCAAACAAGAAGAGAAAAGGTACTTGTATGAAAAAAAAATCCTCTGCAAGATCATTACAACCCCTTATGAGATAAGAGGCCTTGAGTCTCACATCTCCCTTCTACCCATATATTGAAACATGGGTCCAAATGTTCAACCAGTCTAAGCCAGCACAACTTCTTTTCCCAAGCTGTGCTGATTTCCCATCAGTTGATTCTTTGGCCCCTGACTTCCGTAGAAAGCAAGCCCTGCAAAACAGAATCCTATCGATGCTACAAAGAAGATACAAATGATGAAGTCATACTGGTAAAGCAACAGCAATAAAAGATATAAACAAGAGTTGTGATGGATCATCAGTTGTGATTACCAGTTAGCAACATTTGACACTATCTGAAATCAATCCTTTTGAAGAGGCTGTAAATGGGGACATTTTTGGTCCTTCTAAGTGGGGGAATGGAGGGTAGATCTCAAAACTATTACCTCTGGCAAGACCTGCATGCCAGTTCACCCCACTCTGCTCTGTGTTGGAGGAAATTTCACCCAGGGCCTCTGCTCTTCCTCAAAGAGGACCAGAGCCACATTCCCTTGGGCACGTCCCCTCCTTCCTCCAGCCACAGCATCCGCAATATGATTTAAACTATCCCACAGGGTGACTTCTTCCTGCCAAAAGCTGAGACACCAGAAACGCAACCCCAGGACACGTGTGTTTAATAGCTTACTCAACCAGAGGATGACACTTTTGATTCTAGTTTTGGTTAAATCTTTTGACATCCATGGGAAAAGCATGTTATTTAAGCATCATCAGGCCTTTGCACTCCCTGTCTTACAACAGGTACTGAACTGTTTGCTGTCACCTGCTCTTTTTCGCTTGACTGAAGACCAGACATACTTTTGACACCCCTGCTGTCTTTGCACTGCCCTGAAATCCTGTTTGCTGACTGTTTGCCCTCTGTTTTTACCTGTAGACCTTAGAAAAAGCTATTAGTGATCTCACCACAGAAATGACTCAAAAGCCAGGAAATACCCATGAAGGTGGTCAGAAACCATGCATGGATTTATACCTGCTGTCATACCGTTTTTATCAGACACGGTATGAATTACCCCTGCTGCCTCCAAAGACTGACAAAAGCCAAATGCGTGGCATTACCTGCTTTGATGTACTGGGGTGGTCATCCCAACCCTGAGACTTCTCAGCAGTCCCACAAGAGTTGGTTGGTACAATGTGAAGGTCATGCTTTCAAAGTCACACGATGTTGTTTTGCTTGCTAAGCTGAGGGCTTTCCCCTGCGATTGCTTGGGCATATATGGCCACGTTCTTGGGAACACTCTCGCTGCTCTGCTCCATCAAGTATCAGTAAAAAGATGAAGGGTTTCATAAGAAAATAAAAATATAGTTTTTCATACATGTTTTAAAGCCATAGGCAACTACATTAAAAAGAAATACCATCTGATATTTAGTGCAAATACACCAAATCTTCAGTGGCTTGAGTGTGGCTTAGTTTCAGCATAGGAGCTTTTACCCAGTGCCTTCCTCCCTCATTAGAGAGTTGGTCTTCCTCATCATGCAGAGGAACACCCAATCAGCAGTAGGGCATGTGCCGATAAAAACTCTGCACCATTTACTGGGCAAGCAATTGGTAAGAAACACTTCTTTGTGCTAATAATATATTTGCATTTCATTTTATATTACTCTTCTTCCCTCATTTCTACTGTTTAGAAAGTTCATTATCTTCAGAGGTCCACATTTTTCATAACACTTTACCTGTGATCTGTAGTGTGCAGCAAAGGGCAAGCACTGAACTAAAGGGCAGCTTGTTTCACAGTACTCCAAATAAGAAAACTGACCATAGTACAAGCAAAATTAAATAAACTGAAATACAAAAGACAGCAGAAGTTAGATTCATCCAGAAATATAATATAACGTCTGGGAGTGGGGAAAACTGGAGATTAGCTACAAAACAGAAACAATGGAGTGACCAACGAATATTGATCAGGTGAAAGAGGAAAACTTTCATTGCATGCTGTACATTAAAATTAAATGCAAAATTCACATGTTGGAGCATCAAGACAGAATGATGGTCTCAAGCCATGGGAAGAAAAAAGTAAAGGAACACCTTGAATAAAGCAACACATGAACAAAAACAGTAACCGAGCAGCTTCAAAAGGAAAAAAGTGACCATATCTCCAATGAGAAAAAGCAGCACTGAAGCAGAAAACAAGTATATGGTCAAGACACCACAGGTAACACTGACTGCACAAAACACTTTTGATATTTTGAAAGAATCAGGCCTATTTGTATATCTATGCAAAATATATACACAAATCCATATGTATATATGTACACATAGGCACTACTGTACATATGTATATGCAATCATTAATGCAACTGCCCTTTGACAAGTTTCAGCATCTGACTCTGGGTGCAAGCAAGAATGCTGCAGTTGTGCAAAACTACACTTCTGTGTTTGATTACTGAGAAGTCAGGGTAGAGAGATCCAAAATAATTCCCAAATATCTTGGACTCAGATATGGTTTCATCAACATTACCATGCCAGCTCAACCTCTGAACAATTCCAGCTCATTCGTAGGAATCAAATATTCATCCAAAGCTGTGGATTGTATCAGTACAAGTTATATCTGTTTCCAACCCTGCTAATCTGAAGAGATGGCCAGACATCTCTCCTGACATCAGTGGTTTAGCATGAGGCTACCCAACCCAGAATACCAATTTGGGAACACCAGATGCACGGGAAATTGAATTCAAAGGCCAGAACAGGACTGTCATTCTGTAAAAGAAGGGTCAGTTGCTGTCCTTATAGTGTTTTGGAAGAAAGGGACATGGTGCATAAAAAAAGAGATTCCCCCCACCCTCAAACAAGGGAGCACATGACAACTCTGAGAACGCATGCTCCAACTGTATGGACATGCTGATCTTTGGGGTTTCCAGTTTTGGGATGTGGGAAGTAGCATTTTCCATAAAGCTTGCTTGCCTCACAGCTCCAAAGAGCATTGGCCTCCCAAGTCCAAGGCTGTTTTTTGGTCTGACACTTCAACACTCAGTTGATCTTTGATATCTCTGCATTACCAATGCCATATTAGAGCAGAAAGAAAGTGGTGAAAGAAAGAACTGCAGATAGATTGTTCTACGCCTCGGCAAAGCCATCTTCCAACTCCGAAAGAGCTGCCCTCGCCGTCCCGTGCGTGAAGGACCCTGTTTAATGCTCTGCATCCATAGCATCCAAGTACTTGGCTTCAATGATCCTAGGGAGCAGGTTATACCTAAGATTGAACCAGAGAGGTACCATTAGCACTTGTTTATAGTCAGGTAATGTTTTGTTTGTCTGTCCCAAGACTCTCAGTTGAGTTTGTCCGTGGCCATGCAAACAACAGATTCACCCAGCTGAAGGGGAGATGAAGTCGGGGAAAGTAAAAACAACCAATCCTGCAAGCAAATACATTTATAGGAATAACAGTGCAGATCTCCTCCTGCAAAAAGCCTCATCATTTCAGTTGAAGAGAAAAGAGAACGTCCTCATCCTCACAGGAGAAAAGTTGCTTTCCTAGAACACTCTGTCACCACAAAGTCTTCAAGGTGCCAAAAATGTACCATCTCACCCGACCCACAGCTATGCTCCTGGTTTGTGCTGGCGAGGCAGGTAGTAGCTTCCTGCTGCCTCCAGTTTGCTAGTGGATGGGTTACTTTGCCAAGAATCACCATTTATTTCTGATTTCTACTTTCTTCACTGCTTTCCCTATAGTGGGAATGTTGGCTCAAAGACCTGCACAGAAGGGCTATTTGTCTTGCACCAAATTCTCCAAGTACACTGTGTCACTCCTTTCAGCTCTTACCACAAAGAAGCTTTAATAGATAACCCAGCAGCTTGGGTCTTTAGAGAAGCACCAAATATATCAGCAAGACTTGAGACCACGGCAAGAAGCTGAGAAGGGCTGTGACATTCATTTCTCTAACTGCTGGTAAGACTCCATCCCTACCTGGTGTCTGGATTCTCCAATGGATCATGGAGATGGCGATTCCCTTACTTTTGGGGTTTGTTTTTTTTCAATTGTTTGCAAGAATGTCCCCATGAATTAACACATTTGGGTGAGAAAAGCACAGCACTGTAAAAAGATGCTATGAAGTTGTTCTTATTAAATCCTGCTGCATATTTAGTTTGACACTTTTTCTTGCTTAACAAGGAAGCTATTCTTCAGCCGTTAATATAAGGCACAACACACTAGAAAGCCAGTTTAAGACTTGGAAGGGCCTTTTCAATAGCTATGCAAGAGATCCCAAACAGCACTTTCTACTCAGAAGTACCAGGATCTGCTTAAATAGACCTGTTGTGAAATAAAATGCTTGAATGCCAGGGAGCACAGATAAGCATCACAGAGAACTTGGAAAGACGACTCTTCCTCTCTGAGCAAGAAAAAAACCCCTAGTCATCCCAAAGTTTTGAATCAAAGCCAGGAACTGGGGATACCCAAAGAAATCACATTTTCTCATTATTGCAGCAGGGAACAGCCTGTTGGGAGAAGCCATTGAAATCCATTATCTTTCATATTAACACTACACTAGTGGCCCCTCACCACCGACAATGGAATTCATGTGTCTACTGCTGTCGGAGAGATGGAAACGTGGCTTTGAGACAGACAGGTAACATGGCTGCTTTTCTGGATGGGACACTGAGCCCTGACTCATTCATCTGGGTTTGATTCTTGACTTTGACCCCTGGCTACTGTCCCATCTCCTCTTCCTTCCTTCAGTTCTTAAAAAAAAAAAAGAGAAAAGAGATTTAATTTCTTCTACTCTGTCTCATCTATTTAGAGCACCAAATCTTTGTGAAAAAGTCATTGTTAACTACAGAGCTCATGCATCATGGTGCTGCCTTCTCGGCTGGAGCCCACAGAAACTACACAAAGGCAAAAGAAGTCACAGAAAGGAAAGCCAAGGGCAAATTTCTGTATTGTGCCAGGTAGCATCACCTTCCCCTTAGCAGCAGGGCTGATTATCCAGCTACTAGAAAAAGCTGCTCTGGAAAGAGAAACGAGTTAGTAACAGAACTAGTATATGATGACAGTATCTTATTTACTCAAAAGAAGATATATTTGCACCACTAAATTATCAGGCTCATTACAAAATCAGGTTCTTTGACAGCACTCTCTCCACACTAGCTTAGCTTATTACACTAAGTCCGATACTTGAATGTTTGACAAAGGGTATCCCACATTTTCTTCTCTGTACTGAGCTGCTCTGTGCAGAGACTTGCAATTCCCACAAGAGTCAATCATCCAGCACTGCACACAGTTGAAGTATTTACCATCCACTTAACGAGTCATCCGCAGTGATGCCTGTGTGAAGGGTGGGTGAGACTCTTATCATAGGAACAATAATTTCAGTGTTTTCCAAGATCGCTTCTCTTCAAAAATCCAGTCCAAATAGCTCTAACCTGATCCTGCCGAAATCCATGGTAGTTTTGACATTTGCTTTTGTTTTAGAAAGAACTGGACGTATCTTTATCACCCAAGGAAAACAGCACAATAGTTGCCTCTGCAGATTACCACATTGGCACCCCTGAACTTCGAGATCAGACAGAAAATCTCTGAGACTGAAAGCTCAAAGACAAACAGATATGGCTGGATACCATGCTGGCCTAAAAATAATCAACTGGACTGGAAACAGATCTGTTCCTTCCAAGATCTTATTATGGCTTCTCATTATATCCAAAGGATGGAGACCATGAATGATTTAACTGGAGAATGATGGGCAGTCACTGTTAATGAACATTAAGAAAGAAATTAGTTAAATTTCTCAATGATCCTCTCTCAAGACTGCAAGATGTTGTAGGGTCCTCCCAGTTTTAAAGACACATTTTAAAACTAAACGTGGCCAGTTTGACCTAACTGATCATTAGCGATGGCATTCAGCCCTGCAAGAGGTCTGTAAGGTCACCACAGCACTGGATAAGAGATAAGGATTCCTCTTAGGAAAAGTTTCTAGCTCTGCTCTGAGCAGAGGCCTTAGGAAATCAAATTGCAAAGCAATAAGGCACATTATCAATATACCATCTAGAGGAAAGGCTGAGACTACAGCTTCTCGGGAAGATCAGACATCCCACAGGCACCACAAACAGACTTATTTGCTTCTCTGCTAGCTGGAAGAAGAGTACCTGCCAGCCCAGAACCCTTTGCACAACACTCAACATCAGTGAAATCACAAGATCTCTGCACTATTCCTCCTCAAGCCTGAGCAGCTGGTGAAAAAGAGGTCACTATCACCCACTTCCATGATGTGGCTACTCAGGAAAGTACCAGCTGCCCTTCTAGACCATTCAGACTTCCTGCAGTCCAAGCCTAAAGACACAGAAAAAAAAAGGCAGACAAGCTTCATACCTGATTGGGATCATCCCTATCATGATGAGCGGGAAGATCATCTTCATGTAGGGCAACGGTGACATGCCAAAACCACAGAGGATGAGGAGCTGCAGGACCTGCAAGCCTGTGAAATAGTGGATCTTCCTCTGGGGCACTCTGCGGATGTAATGCGTCGGAGGATAAGCAGTCTGGGAAGAGAAGAATTACATGTTAGACATGCAGTGACTTGGGCTTGTGGCTGCAGAATGTGGCACAAGCTTTTGAACACAAGAGTTTTAAAGAAGTCATCAATTTACACGCAGAATGCATCAACATCAGAGTCCTTAACAGGTTCAACAGCTGAACGCAGGATTTGTAGGGTTAAAGCAAATGCCTTAAACCACAGCATTGGCAGCAACACACAGAAGATGACTGAGCACTAGAAACCCGGAGAAGAAAAGACACACCACACGGCTAAGATTGCATTTGGGAGCATCTGGAATGCAATTAAGTATCTTGATAAGTACAGTAATGAGATTCCCCTGAGTAGGATTATCAGGGCTTTGCAGCAATATGTGAAGTGCCTGTGGGGGTGTGCAGGGGGGTGATGGTAAGCAGATGCATTTGGGTGCTGTTACTGCTAGACGGTTTCTCCACCTGAAACCCAGCTCCTCATTATTTTATAGCCTTCTGTCCTCTGATCAGACTCCATGCTTGCCCCAGCGGTCCCATTTCTTGGCTGAATCCCAGTAGGGGAATACCAGAAGATGAGACTGAAGAGGTACGGGAAGAGGCTGTACTCCGACTGCAGTGATTTTCTCAACTCATATAAGCTATTCATTTTTGAGAAAGAAGGGGGAAAAAAAACCCGTGACACTAGTAGGCTAAATATCATTCGTGGTTTCTTTTGACAGTTATTTGCTCATGTCTGAGCACAGGCTTTGACTCACTGTCTATACATCAATGAAGAGTATGAGCGACTGTCTACTGGCACCAATACAGACTCAATGGATTTCAGATTGTGCCGTGACTCATTAAAAGGCTTCCAGAAAAGGGAAATCTCCATATTTGAGAATACTTTTTAATTTTCCAAACCGAAGCTTGGAAAATTCCACACATAATTTGTACGAAAACCAGAAGTAATATTCCACATACATCAGTAACTCTTCAAGTCTCATTCAAAAATTGACATGACAAATGTAATCTTTACCCGGATTTCACAGTTTTAACCTCTGGGATGTAATATTAGAGATCAAGATAGATTAGCAGAGATGTAGAGCCAAATGTGGGCTTATTAAGCCCTTGACCCTTGTTACATAAAAGAAGGTGAGTTGGAGACTCACTATTGCTCCCAGGTACTGCCTACACTGTAAACTAGCACGTTCTTAGCACTTGTAATAGAGATGGCTTGAAAATACATCTTCCAGATTTGTTTTCATCCCACATCAGAAAGGTTTCAATAACGCAAGTAATCTCATTTTGAGTTTAAAATCCTGTCTCGTGGTATTTCACACAAGTCAACATGAATGTGTAAAATAGAGCAAAAAAATTACCTGTTCGCAAGCTTTATTGGGGAAACCAAATATCACCATTTGTTGACATTATGCACGTGCTTTTTAATATTTTTAATCATTATTTTTAAAGTGCACGTACTCTGCAGCTGACACGACATCACAGTGGGTTTTTACAACTTACAAACACCCTACATTCAGTTTGTGCAATTGTTTTTTAAAAAGGCATTGTTTGAATGTATATTTGGTTTGCACTCTACACAGTTTAGGGGTTGTCTTCACTGGTAGCAGCTATCCTAGCACCATTCATTCTTGCCTTCTGGAGATAGAGGCTCCAGAGTAATTCTTAGCAGACTGAAAAGAGAAGGATTATGTCAGAGACATCACTCTGAACAAGAAAGCTCAAATGCTTTTGTGGCAGGGAAACGTAGAAAGCAATTTATGCAGAATCGAGAGACAGACAGACAAGATGCAGTGCCATTCTAAGAACAATTCAGCTACCACCTCTTTTTAACCCAACAATAACCACGCCACTTTTCTTGTTTGACACTGCATTATTCGCCCACTCATTTGTCTGCTTTAACAGAAAAGAATTCTCTTGCTCATGTCTCAGTGGCAGCCAGGCTAGAGACATCAAGTTTCACTCCCACTTTGCAGAGAAAGGTGAGAAGGTTACGAAAAGTGCACGTTGGAGCTGGAAATCAGCCTCTTGAGAATGTGCGTTTTGGGGGTAACTCCATTCCCAACACCAGCAGCTTTCTGCATTAGCTCCTGCCACAGTTTGCTGCCAAGGTTGTAAATACAATTCCCTTTTCTGTTCCATCAGGCTGGTGCCCCAGTCTGTGTACCTGTTCTTTGAGCAGGAGAGCCACCCTTTCAAAAAGCTGGTTCCCATCAATGGAGGTCAACGCAATGTAGAGGAAGAGGCCATAGAGGACTGGCTTTGGGATCCACTGGAGAGGGAAAGGGAGGAGCAGGATCGACAGGCCAACCAAGAAGTTTGCCACCAGACTTGTCAAACGGGTCTCCTTCACGCTCACAATCCTGGAAGCAAGAAGATAAGGATTAAGGGAGTAGGATAATATCCCAGTATCCATGTAAGCTTATTGCTGGGGCTCACTGCTCTGTGTCGGTGCAGGACACGTGCCGCTCGGGAAAGGGAAGCTCATCCCCACTGCACTGAGGTCAGCACTTCTGGCCCTGTGCTGACACCCAGAAGGCAAAGCTCTGCTGGATCCAGGCCAGGCACTTAATCCACCGCTCAAAAAGAGCAACTGGAAAAATGCCAAATTCCCCTTCTGCAAAGCTCCACAGATCCTACCCTGAACTAAATTGCCCTCTAAACTAATTCTGTTTAGCACACTGGGGAAAAAAAAAAAAACACAACAACAAAAAAACCCCTCAGAACAGACAAGAATCTTCTTTCTGGGCAGTAAACCTTCCCTCGATTTACTCAGTGCATATGCAGTTGGCTTCTGTCCAAAAGAAAACTCATTGGCTTCTACGGGAACTAACGAACCTCTTGTAAAAAAAAAACCAACCCACTCTGCACTCTCTTGACTGCAAGTCAGCATTTTTGATGTATATGAGGATCTCCTTGTTTATATGGAAGGGGATGCCGAGAGCAATACGGAGGGAGCTAGAAATTAATTTCTGCTGTGGATACCAGCAGTTGCCCTGCAAATTGCCTATTACCATGCAAAACATGTAATTAATTAATGCAAATTTTCCAGAGCTGACAGACCACAGATTGATTTGGGGGGGCAGTGAAGACTGAGACGAAAGCATGCAGCAACTTTCAGAGCCTACTTGGGGGGTGAGGGGAGGTTGCTTTGTTTTCTTTTCACTAAAAATACCAGAAACAATAGGAGGAAAGAAAACCCTCATCTTTCAAGACTGCTTATAAATAGAGAAAAGGAGGATTCTTAACATACCTTTTTTTGAGAAAATAAATATACCAATTCAGGGGATAAGCTAGTGAATAAATCATCCTATTAAATTCCTGTCTATTGGTTGCTTTGGTGTCATCTAGTGGCCTCATTCCCTGGACACGAGACCTCATATTCCAAATTAACCCTGTACACAAAATACTCCAAGGATTAACACAAGACCAGCCACGAGATCTATCAAAACACATTTCCCTCTTTTACATATGCACTGCTTTGTCCTCATAATCCCGTCTGTCCTAGAGAAAATTACTTCCCAGTGAATTCTTTCACTATTAAGGTTTTGAGTCTCATTTGCAAGTAAGGTCAGGTTGAACTTCAAATCTGTTTATACATTCAAGAGCATAACGAAGCTGTGGGGATGAAGGAGCCTTCCACATCTGTATTTAGAGAGCGAGGGAAAGGGTAACAGCTTAAGGCTTGCTCTCAGGATTTGGATAACATGGCAGAATTAACACAAGCAGTCATGAGACCTAAGGAACAACCGATATCACAAACAGTACAGAAAGTCCTGAGGACAACACATGAATTCCTTGGTGAGTAATAGGGCAGGTCATACATATTATCTAGGATTACCAAGAGAGGATGCACAGAATAGCCACAGGAGGTGTTAACCTCTAAGTAACTTCCCCCCTCCCCTGGTTAGGTTTAAACAGCAGAAACCACAGCCTTCCTCCTTCCAAAGAGATTTTGTTCAGATCCTCTTGCAAGTCTCCTATGTCAAGGGGTCCCTGCCAGTGCCTAGAGAAGCCAAGGGAGAGTAGAGCACTTCGCTCTTATCTGCAGACTGTTCTTGCCAGCTCTGGAAGAAATGGGACATCACCTGGGTAGACATAGTTTGGCACTCCTTCCATTGCCTCCAGGTCTGGATCAACACAGAACAGAAACCTCAGAGATGAACAGGGCCAAGCAGCTTAAAGCGCAACTGCAAGTGCTAATTCAGAGTAATTTGATAGTTTGATAAGAAGTGGTCAGGCTGCTTCAGAGCTACTAGAATCACTACGAGCCTCAAGTGCCCCAGTAAAGCAGGAGTAAAAGGATGCACTAACTGATTTAGCCTCATTCAAGTACAGCAAGAGTTTCCCTGGCTTTGTCACTGGGCAAGCTACAGAGGAAGCATTTCTGCTATTTCAGGTAGAGATCTAACCCACTGCTGCGGATGTTCGTGACCCACAAGCGTCAGTCCGAGCATGCACAAGTCTGCTAGGTTCCTTGCAAGTGAAGTCACACGAACCGAAGAGCTCAGGATCAAAATTAGATATGAAGCCACCACATTTCAACCAGATGCAAGTCTGCAAGTACAGAACTGCTCAGAGTAGCAGCCCTTTGGTAATGGATTTTTGAAGTTCATGAAATTTTTTGCTGTCACCTCTTGGGGATGCAGCAATCACAGCACTGAAGAGTGTTTGATCACATACAAGATGTACCGTAACTACTACTGCCAGCTCCTAATACCACTTATTAAAGTAGTTTGGAACTTCTTATCAGAATAGTTAAAATTGCTCATAATGCACCAAACATGAGATCTTTAAAGCTGAAGTTCCCAGCCTCAAATTGGTCTTCTGCCAATTTTAGCACCTTTCTTACTTCCAGAGTAAGGACATCAAAGTCACATTAAATCAACAGAAGAAATCTTGTAATTTGTATGTGTTCAGAATCTGGTTTGGCGCTTGAGTAAACAGCTCCAGAAAGTCTGTACTGCAATGAAAATGAAGTAATTAATGGAGATTGAAAAGACCATAATCCAGGCTCATTTCCCCAGAATCTTTTAAATATGGCTAGCACAGGATTAGCCATTCCCAACCTCCTCCATATGAGTAATGAGAGCCTATTTGCAGATTGCCACACGAAAGTCAAGTGGCAACTCTACAGGGGAAAAGAAAATTTTGCTTTCATTGTGACAGATCTTTATTCTTGTTTATATCATCATTCTCCCTGAGAGCTTTGATTTGTGTGCAGAAAAGGAGCCTGCCAAGGGAGCCAGCATTGAAAGAACTCCTGATTTTCTAATTGAGCTTCAGGACGTTTCTTCTTCAGCAGAGCTGGCTAAGAGATTAAAAAAAAAGAAAAAAGATGACAACACTGCTCAGAGCCTCCCATTTACAGCTCAATGCTTTGCTGAGAACAAAAAGCTTCAGCCTCGAAGGGAGTTCAAATAACTAAGAAATCCTCATTCCCTTTTTCACTCCCAATATCCAGTTCACAGCACTCCTTTACGTACCGATTCGCCTCCAGCAGAAGAGCTGTGCTGCGAGGGATCATGCTTAGTGAGATTAGGGCATCCCTTACTTAGTCCCTTCACGATAATCCCTAGAGCCATATCTAGGTTAGCATGGCCAAAGAGGGCTCTGTGATGCTCTTTTTGGGCAGCTGGGTGAAGCAGTAGAGGACAAAGGCAGAAGGTAGTCCTTAATTTGGGCAGGGGACTTGACTTTGTTAAGAAGCCGGAATGCAGAATCAAGACAGCGGGCAGCAAAATAGCAAAAAAAGCCACCAGGTGTTAAAATTGACAACAGAAGACACAGGAGGGAGGCTTGGCACATGGGTTTCAAAGTGTAAATTTGGCACCTCAAAGAAATGGAGGGCAGAGGTATCCCGACGCAGATCATGGACATGACAAGCAAGGGCATGGATTAAAACCCTACAGAACTCAAATTACCAAGTTGCTTTTTTTTTAAAATAAGGTTTAGCATTTATTCGAGACGGATACAGTTGTGGGAACAACTCATACCAACACACACGAATGGGAATACAAGCCCAAGGGACTGATCTCCCAGGAAAAGTCTGAAAAAGCATTGCAGGGAGCAGCAGGACTCAGCAATTTCCAGATGTGGAAGATAAAATCTGTCCATCACTGACTCAAGAAAGAAGCTGTGCCAGGTTGGGCTGGACCAGCTGGCACCAAGAACAGCGTGAAGGTGAGACAAGTTAAAAGACAGAGCCATTCCATCCCCTAAAGTAAATGGGCACTTAACCTCACTTTTGATAAGTGACAACTCTGAAACTGGAAACCAAGACAGGATAATTAAAACTAATGGCATGTGAGTGGAAATTACCACTTCTGAGGTAAAAGTACTCGACTAACATACTAAGATCAAACAGACCAGATAATCTCTATTCTGGAGAAGGTTTCATGAGAAATTAGGTTTTTAATTTTTTTTTTATAGGTCTCAAGTAGGACTGTATTGGACAACTCAGAACAGCATAAATGCTGGTCTTAAATAGAAATCTGTGACCTGGGCATGGCTTCACAGTTGTTTTTGCTTAAAAACAGGAGAATTTAATACGCATCTTGTCTTCCCAAAACGTGGCAGAAGATACAGCACTATTTCAGAGCTCGCATAGCATTTTTCCTACCCTTTGTAATAACCACCAGACAGGTTTCAGGCAATGAATCAGACTGGATTTTTTCTGGTGAAGACATCTGGAAAGATCTGGCCAGAGCATCTCCTCAGCTTTCCACAAGGATAAACCTGAAAAAGGCTTTGGCTGACTCCTCCAGAGAACAGTTTACACCAGAGCGGGTGGAATCCCTTGCAGACTGCCGTCAGCCACTGACAAGAGCATAAATTTGTGTCTGTCCTAAAAACAAGCGCTTTAGTGAAGGGGGATGAAGCCAAGTCACAGGCCATACTGGCTGAGGTGTTGATGCATCTCCCCTCTACCTTCCTATCTTACAGGTCTTCAAGACAGCTAACTCCCCAACCACGTAACCCACCGTACTCAAAGGATTAGGAAACCACAAATTAAACCGAAGAGATCCAAGACAGCTCCGTGGTTCCTACTTACGTCTCGTAGATGTGTCCATTTTCAACCCTCTCCTCCACATAGGCCAGGGCGCGGACGTGCATTGGGGAGTGAGGGAAGGCAGCATGGATCCACGGGAGGCCGAAGATGGACAGGCCTGTGTTAATCAGCGCAACAAGCAGGAGGTCCCAGTGATAAGCTGTTCCCTTCACCAACCTGAAATGAGGGTTTTGTTGACAGCAGTTATACCCAGCGCAAACTGTCACAGGTTGCCCTTGCTGAACCTGAGCTTGAATGCTAAACACCGAAGTGCACTTCCATGCACAGAGCGATTTCACACCTCCTGCTTTAAAGTCTGTGTTACATGAACACAAAAGATAATGAAACTTGATAGCTTGCTCCCAAAGCAGGCATCTCCTGGAAAGAACAACGCTGAGCAGAAAGGCAACTCACTAAAATAACAGCCCAAGAAAACTTCATCAACATTTTGTTCCTACATTTATTGCAGAGTCCACTCAAAATATACATGTATACTTTCTAGCAGAGTCCATCTAGGGAGTGAGTAGAAATCTGGGCATGGGTTGCAAAACTACTGACACTGAAGTTTCCCACCCATCTTGTTTTTAACCCTGATCTCCCTCCTTCCTCACGAGCAGAACACATGCTCGGTATTCTGCAGTAATCCTCTAATTATGTAATTGCTACTGCATGATAAGAAAATGGGACATGAATTCATTAAACTTCAGCTCCTCCTTGGTAGTCAACCAAGGAGATAAGCTCCTGACTTTGGTGAATGCTGGGTAGCCTCCCCATTTTGTTTGTTAGGGGAGGGGAAAATTTGCAGCCTTCATCAAGGAAGCTGACCATTTCACATTCACTTTGCAAGGACTACACAGAGTGCAGCTGCTAACACTGAACTTGCATCTAGTTTAACCTTGCCATTTTTTGCAAGGCCTGCCCCTTTCCTGAATATACCCATCTGGTACCAACTGCTCAGATACCATGAGTAAAATTTAGAAAAAGGCTGGGAAAGAATTCAGCACTCAAATTTTAATATCTAACTTAAAGGTCTAATAGCTGTGTTTCTGCTGGGCCATCAAAGCAGAGAGCAGCAGACACCCTCACACAACACAAGGGATCAGCTGAATTGCTCTCTGGGCACCATCAACTGCAAAGGGAGCACTATTTAGGTATCTTAATGCCACCCAAGCAAGCCCCGTTCAATACCCAAGCAGAGACTTGGAGCCATCCAAGATGCTCTAGAATGCGAGGTGCATGGAGTTAGTACACATGACCCAGCACGTGAAGATCTATGCTTAATGTCTATCTCAGAAGCAGATACCACTGTCTGGGCAGCAGAAATCTTGGGTGGGGTTTGGTTTTGGAATAAAAAGATTTGTCTCACTGGAAGCACTCACCCCCATTGACAGAGGAGGCCACGGGGTGACTAGGTCAGGTAGACGTCTACATTGCAATGCTTCTGAAGCTGGAAGGTGCTGGCAGGAAGGGTGGGATTGTAAACACACTTCCCGTGTTGGCTCACGCTTTGAAAGCACGGCTTCTGCTCATGTGCTGTTTTCTCAGAGCAAAGGCATCTCCAGCATCCCCAGGGTTATAATCTGATTGTCCTGTCTGCCTTTTTCAGAGGGTTTTCTATGTACAAAGGCCATATGTCTAACAGCAGCCTCACTGTAGTCCCCCAGTACACTGTTTGGTCTCAGCAGTCTTGCAGCACTGCGTGCGGTATACACCTGCTTCGACCAACAGATAGGCTCCACTGAGCTTGTCTAGCTCACACATACAAAGATCTAGACGTCTTATCCTAGGTTATCTTGACACCGCCCAACCAGCCCGGTATTCCTTGGACTGTCCTATATGCTTGCTTTGATTACCCTTTAGCAAAGCACATCAGTGTATTTTCAGGCAAGCATCATCTTTTCCCTGTTTTTTTTCTACAGGAGAAAATGACTACATTTGGTAAGACACCAAACAGCACATTCTCCATTTGGCTGGTATAGACGACGGTATTTTTATTCTGTGATGGTACCAAACAGAAGGTGTCAAGTCCTAGTTCTTCCATCTCTAAAAAACCCATGCCCTGATACTCAATTAGCATAAGCTCAGCCGTGTAACAAGACATTATGACAAACACTACGAAGAACTCCCAAAGAATATTTTATATTCTATAAAGACACTGTAGTGGAAAATACCTAAAAGTTTAGAAGAAACTCATATTTGGAAAGAGATGACCCACTTACATGACAGATTTATGCAATACTTAACTTAAAGCGATATAATAAAGATAAGAGGAAATAGTCAAGTGGTCAAAGAAAACCAAATTAGTGTAACTGAATTTGAGCTTGTCTTCTCTCCCCTAATTCAGTGTCACTCCAGCTACAACATGCAGAATGCTAATGTATGCAAGGAGAGAACCCTCCCACGCATTACATTAGCAAAAAAAATCCTCTGAGATGTGGTAGTTTCCCTGAAAAAAAGTAATACACATTCATTCTTGATGATATATCTGATTGCAGTTGGCACAAAAACATCAGAAGGAATATTTTAATAGTGCAACATCTCGACTCAAGTTTGCTCATAAATCAGACCTCTCAGATATTAGACATACTGCTTTACTTCATTTCCACCTTTTCAGCTGGAGACTAACAGATCCAAACACTTCTTTTCTGATGCTCAGCTGCAGTATATCACGCTATGACATTTATGCAGGTCACTGACTTTTCATTTTCAAGAAACTCTGTACTGTAAGAACAGTGCAAGTGTCCACATGTGTCAGACACTCCCCAAATATCTGGAGGTACATCCAGACCTCAAACCATACAAAATATCTATGTAACGTTCAGACATGGGCAAAGAAGAAACAGGCTGAGGTGATGAGCTCATTGACGCTTTGCATTTTTGACTCACTGCCACAATATTGGGTTTTGGGGATGGTGAGGAGTTAAGCAGTAGAGTTGCTTTCATCTATGACAACAGAAGTTCTGAAGAACGTGTCCTGAATATCTTTTCTGATATTCAGACAAGTTTTGGACAAGCAGTGCTGGGAAGAGACTCAAGGTTGTCCTTCCACAGAGGGAGAGAAGCACTGAAAGTATTACCTGTTCTCCGGGGCATTTGTGAGCGACGCCACGATGTTCTGCTCTATGAAGAAGAGCATTGACAGGAGGAACCCCAGCCCCATGGCGCTCATCACCGACCCAATGGAGAGGGACTGGACTGGGGCCAGCACAAACAAGCTCTCAGATGGGTTGTAGTTAAATTTGGACACTGGAAAGAGAAGGGGAATGACTTTAGGAGGCACCTTCTTGTCCAACCATCCACACGGACTCAAGTAATGTTTTACCCACACCACGAAGTATTGGGAATCAATGCAGCAAACCAGGCATGATGCTCTGGCATGTGGGAGCCAGAAGGCCATAGAAGATGGGCTCATCTGGCTGGTTTAGTTTATTTTTTTTGTCCATCCTCTCAGAACTTGGCTGCCATCCTGATTTGATAGATTACTGCTAGTTCTAGTGAGGCATTATGTATATTTGAGCAAAACAAAAGAGGGAAACTTGTTTTTCACAGATGCAAGGCATTTTTATATTAGAAGACCTTATTTCTAACTGAGTAGTATACTCCTCCTGCTCAGTTAATCAACTGACAGAGGCATTTTGAAACTTCCTCATATGCAACAAGCTGTGCAAGGCATTTTAGTATGAAATGCCCCTACTTTCCTGCCCTTGGAAGAAATCCACGACTAGGGATAAGTCACACATGGCCACACATCATTTTTCAATCCAACTGGATGGAATGGCCATCACAGAAAAAAAGCCATTTCTTATTTGTTTCCATACGTTTCCTCACATCACCCACTCACGTCACCACAGGACAATACAATTCCTGTCCCCATCCATTATCACTTCCTGATATGGAAAAGCTGATCTATTTGGCCAATGAATGGTGTCTCATTTTTAGATTTCCTTGTGTAACTTAGAACTGCCCAGATGCTCTGCACCATTTCACCTAAATTGGGAAAACGTAAACTGGAGACAAAGAGGACAGACTGGGATCATCAACTCTACGTCTGTATGACTGGCAACAACCCTTCCTGCCTGTTAATTACTCTGCCCTTTGTTCTTTGCCAGAAATTGTTGATCCTTTCCATTGTAAGAGATACATACTTTAAATTACGTCGAAATGAAAAAACAACCTAGAATAACTTATCTAGAGAAAAAACCTCACTCAGCCTTGTTTGATTTGGGTTTTGAATGAATTGAGTCTAATATTGAGGAAATTTGAGCTCTTGTGGTGGTGGGCGGTACATGCAGGATTTCTGAAATTATATGGAAGAGCTTTGCTATTTTTTTTTTTAAGCAAAACCTTCCTAGGATTTCATTTCCTTTTTTCATACACCCCAGCATTGCAGAGAATAAAAATATAACTTACTTTCAATTTCCTTGAAGATATAGGAACCCACAACAGAGAAAGTCAGAACTGAAATCGGTAAGGCACAGTCGGATAGAATTTCACGCACTCTTGCATGCAAATACGGGCTGCAATTTAAAGACAAAAAATTTCCATCAGCTCCACACTGTAAGGACAATCGCTCAATCCAGATAGCATTAATGCTTTAACAAGTGAAAATTCAATCCAATCTCGCAATTCTAAAGAGATACTTAGAGTGAAGAATTAGTCTTTAATTCAGCCTTAAATCCTCTGGAATCTATAGCCTTTGAAGGTTGACGAATGCATAAAAAAAACATAAAGAAACAAGAAACTAAGATGCAAGCTAGAAAAAAAGTCTGCCAAGCACCAATTTGTGTTTCATTTCCACTTTAGTTTAATTACTTACTCAAGCATTTCAAATGAAGAGTTTTAAGGGCAATGGGAGTAAAACCCAAATTAGAGCTGGGCATTTGACTCCCAAGAGCACACTGAAGGTACATTCCCAGTAGATCTTCCAGCACCATCGGGGATTTTTGCCCACCAAAATGGTTCAATGCCTATTTAGGGGGGAGTTACAGGAGTTCCAACGTGAAATACGTGGTTCACCCAAAGCTTTCTAAAAAGTCAGTTGCGATGCCAAACCAAATACGGAAGAGCATCGTCCAGTAACCGAACATTTTGTTCTGCTACTAACATTTTCCAGGTGGCCAGCCAAGTTCATCTCTGGTTTTGCCTTCCAACACCACTAATGGAAGAGTTCCACCTGATTTTTCTGGGTTACAAAACCATTAGCGATTCCCTCGCAGGTAATATGAAATAATCAGTTGTCTGAGCTCTAAGACTGAAGCAACTCACCTTTTCTTAAACTGATAGAGCGTATGACCAAGCCAAAGGGTACCCAACATCAACATGAGACTAAGGACGGCAGTTTCACGCCCATAATGCACATCATGCGTGCCTGTTTGATTCTCTAGGGACATGGATCTGCTCACTGATGAATTCATCAAGAAGGTGGTATTGATGCCGAGGCTTGGAATAGCATCAGTTCGTGCTTTTTCCAAGTAACTGTCTCCTGTGCGCCCATGGTAGTAATATTTCTTAAAAACTGTACAAACAACCAACAGGCAAGCATTAGGATAGGTTTGTGACAAGCAAAGCAAGTAAAATAAAGTGGTTCTTTCTTGCTTGATCATGCAGTATTAATGTTATGCTTCACCAGGTTTATAGCTCTACCCCTCAAACCAGTGAAAAGAAACCAGGAGAGTTGCTTCTCTTATGAAGCCACTACTTTATAAATTTATTTTTCACTTGTTTTAACAGGTAAAAGTTAAATTGATCTAAAGCAACACGTTTGAACGGTAAGGACTTCCAGTGTTAATTATTTATGTGATTTTGTTCCTAGCACTGGAATCACTTCTCTTAAACGTATATAAACACCTACTTTCAGCAGCCTGGTAAACAAATTCCATCAGGATCTCTGAAGAAGTTAAAAGCAGCCAGGCTGCACAGATCCTTAAGTGGATTACAAAATGTACAGTAATTACTTTTTCCTCCAAGGCTGGTCCAGATTTTAGAGATAAGTGTTGATGATATGCAAAACCTGGCAGAACATTTAAATTTACACTGCAAATTGAAATAGAGTTACAGAGCACCTGAAGTAAACCTGTACAAATGAAACACCCAGCAATGCCTCTGGAACTGTCCATAAATGTATTAGGTTAGCTCAGAGGCATTCATATAAAGTAATTAACGGTTGTAAATACACTCTTGCTCTTGAGCATTTAGACAGCTGTGTGCCCATTCCTATGGCATTGCCTGGCTCCAAGCATATAAATGTGGGTTTGGGATGATTTCACTTCTTTGGGGAACAAGAGCCTGAGGTGCCACAAGGACCAAGTAAAACCAGAAGATGGGAGTTGGGCTTTGCAGCCTTGGTACTCCCATGTTATGTGATCAGACAGCAGCAGGCAGCACCCACTCCCCCTCATACCAGTGGAAAGGTACAGGAGGATGGAAACCACCATGTCAGAGCTTTGCAGTCCATCTACCTTTCTTCGCTTTAGTCAAAAATATCCCTTCAAACTTTGCATGGGGGAAACTCAAGAGTGTAGGGCAAGACCATCCTCTTTAGGCAAAAATACAGCCATCTGAAGCTTAGGCTATAATGCTCCCCATAACATTTCCACCCTCCTCCCAAGTAATAATCAAGTTTCTAAAAATCCCAAGCACCTCAGTTTTTCCATCCGCAGGAGCTACACGGAAAGCAGGCAAAACAAACTGTAATTCTAAATATTTGAAAACAAGTAAACCAAACTTTAAACATTCTTGCAAAGGACAATTGGTATTTGCAACCACCTTGAATTTGGTCGAAGCACAGTTTGTGTTACTGCTGGTTTGGAGCTCACCCCAGTGTAAAATGCCCCATATTTAGCCATGCTGCCATTATACCACCAGTAATTGTCTTTCTTGTACCACCTTTATGCTTTAAAAGGAGTCCAGGCATTTGACAAGCGGATGGGGTCAACAGGGCACATAGGTCATGAGAAAAGACCGGTTACTTCACATTCAATAGTTCTGTGTATAAATTTAAAGATCGCAGAAGGTTTACAGTTCAAGATTTGACCTTCCGATTTGATCTCAGCAGCAGCCAGCAGTGAGGAGATCATTGCACTTTTAAAGCACGAGAAAGGTTCCCCCAGTAAGGGGCAATCTCATTACAACCTCCGTTAGCACAGCGTATTTCTGCATCGCGTGCTACGGAAGAGGCTCTGCTATTATTTCCTCTCTCCATCCTCGCAGCTGTATCCAGCCCAGGCAGGACACCCACACCTGCTTTGCAAAACAGGTAAACTGAGGCACAGAGCACTGCCATGACCCACGCACCGGCACAGAACAGGTTGTTGGAGGATTTGCAGTTTCTGGCTCTGAACATTAAAGGACACTTTAATCATAACAAAAGTGATTATGGCAGTATTTCCTGGGGATTAGCAGCTGGCCAGGGCTAAAAGCCCGTTTGCCATCTCAGCTGACTGTAAGCGTTACTAAGTCCTGGAGACACACGCACAATTACTGAACATAGGATAAAACAACAGCACACACAACCCAGCAACTATGCAGAAGGGTATTTGCATGCCTCCATATTTAGATTTGGACTGGAATGAATAAGAAACAAGTGACTTTGGTTTGGGTCTGGGGGATTTTCTCAGGTTCCCATACTTGGCTATATTGCAATAATACATTTAGGGCTGAGCGCTTCTTTGGTGGCCTGCGTTCAAGCCTGACTACATCTATGTGCACTACCTCTCAGGCCGCAATTCACTTTGCACCCACCTCAAAATTAGGTTAGGATTGCTCCACTCAATCCTGGATATAGTGGAAGAAAAACTTTGACTTTACTCCTGTATTTTAGTTAAAGCAACGAGAACCTGCCAAGATGGCTATCAGAGGCCTTTGTCCTGCACCACGGACTTGCTATAAAGTATTTGATCCTTGCAGATTTATAGTTTGTTTTTATAACAGAGCTAAGTGAATCTTGTTGCCCACATTCAGAGAGCAGCAAAGCAGGTGGTGCCCTTGCTGAAACAGAGCCATTCTCAAGCCTAGTGTGCGCTCAAGTTCCCTCCAACAACATTAACTCGCTTTGTTTGCTCCATTCAGTTCACCACCGTTTCCTGCAGAGTGCAGATGTCAAGATCAAACAAACACAGCTTCGGTGGCTGGGCCGCACGGCGAAAACAAAGTGTCACTGGGATAGCATGAACACACATGGTGCGATTCCTCTGTACAGTATCGCATCCCTCCCCCCTGCCTCTTTCCTGCCCATGCACGAGTACCTTGCAAAAAAGAAAAAAAAAAAATCAAGGCTATGAACAGAGAAAAACATATCCAAGCAAGAGCAGCATGTCCCCTGGTACTAAGGAAGCCCAAGGTCGCTGTCAGCTGGCTAGCCATTACCAGGACACATTTAACAGCATGGAGAAGATACCAGCTTTCTCTTCCTACTTAACCACTCAAAGTTTTGAGTGGGAGGAGGAGGTGGCAGCAGCAACCATCAACTCCTTGTACAAAACAGGAGTGGAAGAAGAAAGATGAGCATGTGGCCGTGAGCTGCACTGGTGTCACGTGTTTAAATATGAGCACTGAGAGGGCTAAGGATAAAGTCTGTGCCTGCCAGCATCGGTGCCCTTCTGCATCTGGGAACGTAGCTGGACCTGGGGTCCCATCTGTTGACAGACTGAACACTCCCAGATGCAGTTGAAGTCAACATGAGCTGGCAAATGAGCATTGATTTGATTTTATTACCACTGTTATAAATTCAGCCCTTCCTAAGTACAAAGGAGAATTACATTAATTCACTAATTACACTAATCGACTTCCAGGATCCTCTCCTGTCCCCACTGCAATACTGCGAGGTATTGCTTGCTTATTCCTGAAAGTCTGGCAGCCAAGCTCAATGGATGCTTTCTGTACCTTTAACCTGCACCCCACGTCCCTGCTACGGGAAATCGGCTCTCTACTACAAAGGCACTGTAAACATTTGCATTTGCTAATTTTTACATAGAATGTTCTGTTGAGGAACACCTCAGTGCCACAGGGAGACTGTCCCATGCCTCCAGAACAGGGGACTGACAGCACACACTAAGCAAAGCTCACAGCTACATAGTGAGCAAGGAGAAAGCAAAGTATCCCAGAACAGCTTCTCCTTCACCAAGCTTCATCTAAGCAATATACTCGAAAGATGCAGGTGTTTTGCAGAGGAAAACAACTCTGATTGCACAATCAAAGCACATGCCCAAGCAGCCAAATTAAGGATTCCCAATGAAGTGAGGAAGCACCTAACTTCCAATTGCTTTGCAGTGTCAACCCTGCTCTTTGAAGGCATTCTCCTTGCATGCAAGATACCATAATACGCCAAGCCTGAGAATCTTGAAAACAAGGGATGTGGCTCAATGTGCTTAGGTATATCCTGAAGGATTTCAAAGGATAGCCCAGACTTGGGGCTATTGGACAATAGATCATAAAAACCAAGAAATGCAGAGTTGACCAGCTCCTCACTGGGATGGACAGAAGGGGTGCCATTCACATGGCTCTTCTGCTAACATCTTTCACCTTCACAAATACCTCCTGTCAATCCTGATCGGGAAGAGGGGTGCCAGAGAAATTTGTTAAACACCAAGGTTGCTCATGGATACTTACTTAGAATTTAACCCAGAAATGAGGACCAAGTGGCTAGAAAGGGCAAAATAGCTTTAGGAGCATGCTGAAAGGCACTGCAGTCCTGGTGCTGCCATTAAAGAAGGGTCTCAGAGCTCATGTAAGAATGGGCAATCTCAACCCATCTTTCAACTCCCCTCCATATAGTTTTAATAATGTGACAAGGAAAGAGGTCTAGATGCACCACATTTAAATTGGACATTTTTTTTGCCAGGACCATTCAAAAAGAGACTGGTATCATGAGAAGACTTCCACAGTAACATTATTACGGTTCTCCATTTGGCAAAAGTTAACACACTAATCCTATCTCAGCTAACTGAAGTTAGAGCTGATAGAAGTTCTGCATAGCCAGGCAAACTGCTGACAAAGGGCTGCTTCAATCTTGCATACTGATTTATTTCCCCCCCCAAAGACCCTGAATGAACATGGAACAAGCAAACATCATGCATATTTGCAGCCTTATATTTCCCTTTGACAAGGAAGCAAAGCAGAGATCTACACTAAAAACCATTGGTGCAAGACTTACCTTTAATAATGCCTTTGAAGGCATCAAGCACAAACGTGATGGATATAAAAAGTGCAATTATTTCTTCTGTTGACCTGTTGAAAAATCCCAGGAATTAATATAGCCATTAACAGAGTGTGCGTTCATTCAAATGAAAATCTGCATATTCATGCATTTACATGAAAATATACCAATTTTAGTTAGACTCCAACTTGGGCAACAAAACCCAGTGAATCTTTAAAAGCTTCTTTCAGGCTGGAACAATAAGCTGAAATGATACTAGCCTCATCTCTCAAAATACATTTTGCAAGAAGTTTGTAATTAAGGAGCTTGTGGAATGTGTAATTTTTCCATTTGGTGAATAATCTGATCAAAATATGACTTCTTGAAAATAACTACCTTTTAAAGAGTTTCATCAGAAGACTGAAATTAAAGAGGGAGTACATGACAAGGAAAAAGCTGTTCCATAGTCCAATCCAGGCATAGAAAGCACTGAAATCCAAGTTGTAGTCATCACAGATTCCTCGGATGACTGCAAAAATAAAGCATTCATGTGTCAGATCAAACTTTTGTCATTACCACCCTATGATTCCCATCCGCTTGATGGCAAAAAGAACCAATTTCAAGACTTTACCCAAATGCACTTGGGGCAGATACCATTAAACCCCTGTTCTTACACTCTTGGATGAACGCTGGATCAGCCCAAACCATTCTTCCCATTCCCTGCCCCCTTCCTCCACTAGAAATGGGGAGAAGCACTTAGGAAAAATATTCTCCCACATTGCTCAAAGCATCTTTCCTAGGAACCAAGGCCACAAAAATCAGCCCTTGGAAACTGCTCTTGCTGGCATTTTGGGATGCTGTTGAGCAAGGGATCTCATACATGCTTTTGCACCACGTGTACTCAAGTCACTGCATTGTGGACAAAACCTTAGGTCTTAAACCTTTTAAGCTAGTCATAGCCTATCTGATCATTCCTACAGATACTGAGTTTGCTCCTTTACACCTCTGGCTCGGTAATATCAGCTTGCAGCCGTAACTGGAAAGGTATTGATGACACCTTAACAAATCAATCAAAAAAAACCCTACAAAAAACCACTTTGTCTCAGGCTCTTATCCTCAAGTTGGTTAAAACACAGCCACATGAGAAAACCATTAGATGAAAAAGATTTCCTCCTTGAAGCAGAAGAAATGCTTATTCTCATGAAAGATTTTTTCTATGCAAAATTATTCCTTTAGAAGCCACCATTAACCAAACCTGAATCAAATTCCTCCCCTTTCCCTCAGCACCAGAAGCAGCCGTTTAATATTGATTTATAAACAAATGCAACTAAAATTCTAACAGAATTGCAAGGTTCTGGTACAAAGTCCCACTCCACCAGTCACAATCACATCAGTACACGTTTCATAGACTTACCATTAATGTAGAGTGCTAAAGGAGCCGTAGTTAGGAGTACAACTAGAGGTTGCCCCGAAAAAAGCGCATAAAGCAGCCCTCCAATGCACTGGCCGACGATTGTCTTCTGCACATCTACAAGTAATTAGGAAGGATAGGAACAAACAAGGTTTAACCAACACCTCCCTGACCAAGGAGCATTCACAGGGCATAGAAGTCAACCGCTAATGAGTAAGAACAATGTTTAGACGTTATGCAGGTAAGACGCTGAGAAAACAAAAAGTGATCCTTTGCCAGCAAATGTGTACCAATAATTTAGGATGCCATCAGGTTTCCAGATGTTGAACTATGAAAGTTGGGTGGGCGTGGTGGTGGTTTTTTTGTTTTTTTTTTTTTTTTTTTTTAGAGTCAGCTGTTTTTTGGTTTTGTTTTCCAGTTTTTGTTTTTTAGATGTATTTTATTTTAAACAGCTACAAAAACATAACCAGTGTTTGTGGAGGCCTTCAGGACAAGATTTCAACTAAGACTTCTATGAAGTGTAACAGCAATATGAACTGCTTCAGGGCCACAACTGGGATGGAGCAAAGCAGCATTCGCTACACCAGTGGTTTGGATACTGGCAATCAAACTCAGATCAAAAGCATAGGAGCTTGTACTAGGAAAAATGTGCAGATAATTACATAGTTATAAAGCGAGCATCATTTTAAAATACAGTAGCACATATCTGTATCAGTCCAAGTCAGATGATCTATCCAAAGTAGTGTTCAATTTTTCTAGTCTTATGAGAAAAAGTCATGAACGTAACAATTAGAAAAGCCTTCAGTGGTGGTTTTTTTCAGTAAATAAAAACTATCAAAACTTTCTGTGACCAGAGCTACCCCGTTTGAATATATGGAATCCTATAATAGATGCACAAAACTGATAAACTTACCAATAGCTCCCCGGGTGTTTTCATCATTGAGTGACCCAAATGCAATGGATGGAAGGAGGCAGGCAAAATACAGAAAGATCATAGTCGTGATGTATTTTCCTATAGCTTTGTTGTTTCCAATAACACCTAGTGTAAACCACAACAAAAGTCACGTTAGTACTGTCCATTTGTAAAGCACTGAAACCCTACGCAAATCAGCCATACACAGATCAGCCATTCTTTTCATCTTGAAAGGCAGAAGTAGAAATTCAGTCCACACTTTAGTCTTAAACATATAGATAGGTCTTTAACATTTGATTTTGCACAACCATGCTCTTTTGTTCATCTGGGACCAGAAGTGGAAGCACCAACAGGCCACCAGACTGCTTCAACAGACGTTTCTGGCATCATCAAAACAGGAAATACTGGAAGCCTTTTGTTCAGTTTTGCCAGCCCCCAAAAACTTGGAAGAGGATCAAAGCAGAAATCATAAGTTTAGGATTTATTAACCCCCCTCCACTGCCTTTTTAATACTAACTTTATAGGTGTTCTGGACTATGCCCCTAATGAGCTTCATGATGATCACTCATCTTCACAACTCACGATGCCTTGGGCAGGAAAACACGAAGCGCTTCATTTTTCCCTGAGCAGAAATCTGAGGCTATAGGCTTGAATCAATAATATGCTATGCTGAGCCAATTAGTGCTAGCAGACTTAGAAAAACAAATAGCACAAGGGGTTAGGAATGCATACATTAGAGAGTTTTGCTTTAAAAAAGCCTTTCTGAAAGAATGGTTTCTTTCTTTTCCATACAGTCACCCTCTCTCATCTCCATCGGAAAAAACACACCAGACCAAAACAAAAGCAGCTAGAAAGAGAACTGAAGTGTCATAATGTGAATTTAAGGGCCTCTGAAGTAGCTTCCCTTCCCTTTCCTGTTTTCAGGCTGATGTCCATCCCCAGTGAGCTCACTTCACACAAGAGAAAGGATGAGAGATGACAACAGCTGACCTTCCTCAAGGAGAAGTAGTTTTTCCACAGAGCAGCCTCTTCAGAGAGGATACACCACAGAAGACCTTTTCAAAGAAAACCTTGAAATAGGCTTCAACCTGCCTGTGCCACCATCTTTGACGGTGCACCTGCTGCGAGACACTTGGACAAGCTTGGAGTTGCCCAGTTCCCCTTTCTGGAAGCCTCCTGAGCAGTGAACTCCCACACAGGCATCTGTCCCTAAGCTTCCAAATGCCCATCTAAGCTTTTGCTAGCATCAGTCCCTTGCCGAGGGAGCTATAACCAATGAGTTGAATCAGAGAAGAGAAGGCTTTGCGTTCGACACTGTTGGTGCAACACTGAGAAAATCCAGACATTGCCACAACAGACTATCTGCATCACTGGAATGGAAAAAAAAAATTATCACTCAATGACTTTGGGATCTTATCTAACATCTGTCTTCTGCACCATTTGCTGTGCAGAGATAAGGACAGAAGGAGGATGCAAAAACCAAAAATCAAAGATGACGTGTAACAAACAGGCAGCCACAAGAATAAAGGACAGCTTGTGATGGTTCCTGTTCACAGACACGAGAGGAACAGACATAAATAGGACTTCTGATGCTCAGCATCCTCAAAAAAAGGTCAGGGGCTAGAACTTGACAACAGACATCTCAAGCATGCAAATATGAGCCTGACCTTCCAGGAGTCATAGGACCAGCTGTTTTAAGGCAAATTCCTTTCAATTTATTGTGAAGATTCAGAAACCACAGACCACATTCCTGACCGCTCTTGGCAACCAAAGGGTCTGAAATTTACTTCTTGCAGATGAAGCTTTCTCATGTGATCTTGAATCCAACAGCTGCAGGCTCCTACCTCACACTCCCAAGTACCTGAGACCTTTAGAGAAAAGGAAAGACTCGGCAGGGCAAACAGCGGAGTGAGTAGTAGTTTTGTAAGTAAAGATGGTCAGAGGACACTGCGCCACTCCAGAATACTGTTTTTGGGACAAAGGAGTCTTTCCAACATGAAAGGTCAGAGGCAGCAATGCCTGAAAGCTCTGAAATAATTGATAAAAAGACAGGCAACCAGGACCAGAGAAGCAACTAATTAAAAAAAAAAGGCTCATTTAGTGAGCAAAGCTATGTAAGTGATGAGGTGCTTTCTAAAAAAAAAGTCACCAACAAACTTTCAGGTAGATAAACCATAGTATGAGAGGGTAGAAGGAAGGAAGGAGCCTTGAAGAGCATCACAAAAGCTCATGCACGGCTTTTATTTTCAGCTTCAATCCTGGCAAAGCAAGCGGCAGGACGCCTTGCTGATGACGGAGGTCCTTATGCCACATCATGGCTGGGTCCAAGACTTCCAGTACAAAGTAGTATTTTCTTTAGTCCACAGTCAGCCAGATCAGAGCCAAGGAGCAAAGAAACCCTTCTGGTGGGTAGCAAAATTCAATTCATAACAGAGACAATAACTACATCAGATTAAACATACTCTCTCACGAACACGATCAATCACTCTTTAATCACAGTTAAAATCATGAGCAAGTACTGCCTCCTTGATTCACCTGAGACAGGCACTAAAATCAAGCATTAACCACAATTTACCTTTTGGCTTTTTAAAAATCAACATCTGGCTAAACGTTTTCAGGGTCTATTTGCAACCCAGGGACTGACATTACTTCATTTAAAAGAAGGTGGGCTGCATTATGATGGCATTTCATTTGCAGCAGGCTCGTAAAACCGTTGAAAAATGTGTCACTTCAACTGCACAATGTAAATTAGTAGCAGAAAAATCAAGTCAGTCCAGCTGTGAAATTTGAGTAGCTGACAATTACCGAAACAATCCCTTGAAATTAAGGTACATCTACACATTGAAATGGGAAGCAATTATGTTCATCAACATGACAGTTCTATTTTACTTGCTTGAATTTCTGAAATGATGTCGTTTTTAAAGACAAGGTTAGAGTTTTGGAGAAAACTGCAGCATTGCTGGCCTCGCCTTGCTTGGTATTCTGCATCAATAAGTTAACCACCCAGAAACCCATAGACTGGAACTAGACCTCTTTAAGTCTATTAATTGTACATTTACCGAATCAAAAATCGAGACAGATGGACATTCTATGAAATGTCTGATTATTAATGTTCCTTCCCAACTGTCCAAAACATTCAACACAAAACAAGTTTAGTTATAGTGATCTGCAGCACAGCAGCGAGGATGTGTCTATTAAAGCCCTGATTTAAAAAAAAAAATAATAAATCACCTTTCAATGGTAAAAACACACAGTAAATGTATCTGTTCACAGGTTTTGAGCCATAAAAACTCAAAGCATTATAAACTTCTGGTAATGCCCTCAAGCTGGGCTTTCACTTATGTTAATAGCTGCTGGACTCTGCCCAATTTTCTGAAGATGAACAGAAGATGAATCTTCCCTCAAGTCCTGTGAAGAGTAAATCACAGTACAAGTGAGACTAAGAACTTAACTGGAGAAGGAAATCCACTCTTAACCGATTTTGGAGCAGAGAAGCCAAGCATATGCTCAGACCAGAGAAGTATGAAGAAAAAAAAATCAAGGGTATAGAGCTTTCCCTTCTTCTCTTGTTTCTTTCAGCCCATTTCCCATGAAGTGCTAGTCTCTTGGAAGGAAACCTCCACAGACAAAAGAAGATGCTTTTATGCATCTTTAATGCATTCCAATCCACCGCTGTCACAAGAAGAGACTTCATCAAAAGTAACCCAGGTCATGATGCCCCAAAGCATCCAACAAAAAAGTCTTAAAGTGGCCATTGAACTTATACCCAGGTGATATTTAGGAATGAAGGGCTGCAGAGTGATGCAGGAGCTACCCCATCATCTAACCTAGGGCATCAGAGACACTGAAGAGAAGTGAAAAAGCCTATCTGCAATCCCTTTATTTTTCCTCCTCCTCCAAGAATGCCATCTTGCCAAACAAAGCAGCCAGTGCAACCAGCTGGTGGAGTTGATGAAGATTTGGCACATACCACACAGCCAATCCACACAGTCAATACTCTAGCAGGTTTAAGCTCTGTGCTATCTTATACAATCAGCAAGACAAAACTTCCCATTCAAATCTCATTTTTCCAGTGCCTTCAAGCCTCCCTTCTAAGCATGCCTGCATTACAGGGAGCTTTGGAGATCTTTCTCCTGCAAAAAACCACCACCAAATCCTGAAGATGCTGCCAGCAGATGCGCTCGCCTTACTCTCAGGAGCTAGTTAAGGACCCTCTTCTGCAGGACCAAGGACAGGGAGGAATCCACATCTCCAGCTGAACTGTCCACCCACCACAGCCAAGTGCCGAGGACACAGGTCCAGGAAAACAGGGGGAAACAGAATAAATCTCATCTCTCCTCTCTTCCCTTCACTCTCCCTCCCCAAGAGGTGAAGGGATATGGCAGAACATAGCATCAAAGCTCACTATAATAATCCCAGGCACCTCAAATTTCCCCCTGGGCACTCCAGACACTACATTCGTTAAGTGTTTATTCCTCTGTGAATACTGTTTATTCCTCTGAAAATACACACTGAAGAATAAGGGTAGTAACTTTAAGGGGTTTCAGGAAACTTGTAGCTGAGTCCAGGCACAATTCTCTCCTTCAGTCAAACCAGTCTCGATATAAAAAAAAAATTTAGGAAGCTCCTATGGATTGACTAAGTCTTAAAGAGTAATAATATTGATACACATGTGTTTTGAGTCTATTTGACAAGATCAGGATGAAGTTCTATACAAGCTTTTTTAAAAGAAAGCAGAATCCCATAAACAGAGGTTGTAGTCATTAAGAGGAGACTACATGCCAAATTGTGTTAATCCTAATTTATTAGGCTCAGCATAATCCAATCGTTCATCTTCAAATGCTCCTGCTGGAAGACACCTATTACAAGCCATCCATATCACTAAAGTCCTGGACCAAAAGTTTAGAAAATCTTTCCTAGATCCTTGCGCATGCAGTAAAATGTACAAGACTTCAGAATCCAAAGCAGACCTAAAGGTGATAAATTCCTAATCTGGAGGAAAAAAAAAAAAATGAAAGATGATTCCTTTCTGTCCTCTCCCAAATCATAACGGTTAAGGATAATTTAATGGTCAGCTTTGCGCACCGTGTGAAGACGACCAATCCCACAGAAGTCCAACTGAAAAACATTTGCTGGTCCTACAAAAGCCTTATTATTTATCACCCTGCCCTTAATCGGTTTATCTAAACCAAAACCCCAGGATGCTTCTCAGATTGAGGATTTAGAGGCTCCAGCCATTCAAAAAAAAGGCATCTTTGTAATCCAGAGCTCTTTGACGATGCACGTGTGGTTGTCTGGATTGCAGATACTTGGATAGCTCAAATCCCCAGTGTTCTGGTACACTGCTGCTTTGAGATGGTCCAGGAACTTCACATTCCTGATCACCTTCAGTCTTGGTAGTTTACGGTAGATGCTTTATACTCCCATCTGGTTTTCATTCCATGCAGATCCTTAAAGAATTCATATTAATCTCTGGTTTCTGAGAAGAAATGGCACATACTAATATATATAAGTTTCTTAAAAAATAATCTTTTCCCCATATCATATTTGAAAGAGCACAACTGCTCCTAAGGTGAGTACTTCACATTTGAGTTGCAGTAGTTCTTGAGTTTCACTTGGCTCGTTTCTGCATCTTCCGCTCTCCAGAAATTGTATAACAATGCACTGACGCTTTTCAACATACACTTGCATTTCATACCAAAACCATTTTTCTGGAAAATTTGTAATGCTGGATTCTCACTAGGACAGTATTTCATCACTCAGGGCAGATGCACTTAAGGGACCAATTCTTGCAAACTAGTCAATCCCAACCCCTCGTTTAGGCCAAGCCTGATCTGCTATGTGCATCAGTTCATGGAAAGCTTGCGGGTCTGGCTATAGCTGACAGCCCCAGGGCTGAGACGCAGCACTCACAGGTTGATTTGGATGTATGCAGAGCCAGAATATGGATCCCGAAATGGATTTCCAAATCTGCTGACAGCCAAAGTTGACCGCAGGACTATTGTATGATGCTTTCGTGCCTGTGAACCTGCTGCGCTCAGAACATTGACAGCCATAGCAGACACTGCTGTTTTGAAACACACATGGGTCCCCACCAGGTGGTTCTGCAGCACATCCCTTCTGAAGTGCTCCAATATCCCTTTATAATAAAAAGTTAGACTTTGACAGCCCTACAAAGTAACGGCCATAGAGATATAGTGTCCTGAACCCGCTCCAGAGGTGTCCAGATTAGGAGCTTAAGTCCCCTGCCAGATCTGGTGCCTATGACACACATGCCAAGAAATATTTTTTCTGTTTTATCAGACTCCTTACTGCTATCCTGAAAATAATTTCTTGTCCCCCTTCCTCCTCAACATACCCTCAAGTCCCCAGAGAATATAGCATTAGTTTGACTTCAAACAGAGCCTGCTCTCCTATCACCCCAAACCTCCTGAAAATAGTTTAATCCCATCAGTTACAAAGCACCTGGAGAAAGCATCCAGCACTCAACCACTGGGCTAAGCCAGCCTCTCATCCCAATTTTTTCTTCCCAGCAGAGCGGATACCACTAACTGCAAAAATGCATTGTGGTGGATGAAGTATTCCTAGTCAACGCTGAACCTTTGTGGGAAGCAACTACTTGGCAACTCCCCCAGACACCTGGCATCTCCTTCAGCCGAGCAGCTGATTGCCACGTTCCTCTGCTGGGGATGACCATCCTCGTTGAAAATGCAATGGAGGGCACACATCCGTACCCTGCCCATGTTTGCTCTCAAGCTTAAGCTGCCGTGGAAGGTAGTTTTGCACTAGAATACTTGTCTTGCAAAACAGGGCTTAGGTACGAATCTTATTTTCTTATCCCAACTCCAAGGGAGATGGCCCTCAGCAGAGGGGTAGTGGGGAAGGCTGGGTCACTGTCACTTGAGCTAAGGAGGGTTTAACAGCAAGAAGGTGTCTGATAGAGCCTTGAGATTCTCCCTGCCTACACTCTACATCTTTATTTTATGCAAAATTTCTGGGTTTGATACTTGAATATATTAACCAACTCCCCAATAAGCTGTAAGAAACAGAACACGTTTTGATGTCAGGCTGAGGCTCTATAACCATGATTTGCCTTGGAGACTTTTCAAAGCCTTTAAGAATCTCTGAAAGTGAAAGTTTGAAAGTGAAAAGTAAGAAAGTGACTCTTAAAACCAACAAGGCTATTGTGGGAGCTGTATAAAGCCTGAAACCTGAGGCTCAATATAAACACTGCATTGCTGCCCCTGTGATCTGGCTACAGCAGACAAGCTATATCCTGTTTTTAAAAGCACTGAGCTGAAGTTACTCCAGCTCAGATTTTGTTTAAGCATTCTCAACTCCCACAGCATCACCATAATTGCTATTGATGCTGGCTTGCAAACACAGCAGAAAGGGCCTATTAGGCCAGTACTGACTAATTAGGTTGCAATGAGTTGATCTGTGTCTACACACGACAGTAATCAATCCATTTAATCGGCTCATTGCTTAATAAAAATTAAAATCCTCATCTATATACAACTAGCATCTTCATTAAGGGAACATGGCAAGATTCTCATCCGTAGTGTGCCACGCTGCCTATTCACAGGCTTCGGTCAAAATATTCTTTTGAATAAGAAATGAGAGCTATTACACGTATCAAAGAACACATTCAATGCACACTGTAAACAGGACATCACATCACAAAAATTCAAAAACAGGCCAATGCTTTCATAAACATTGGCCAACATACCATCAGTGAAGTCCAAAGCGTACACTGGAAATCTTCGTGCAATGTCATCAGAAATCCCCTTGCCAACATTGAGAAACTCATGCAACTAAAGAAAGGAAGGAAGTGCCGTGTCAGTTTAAAGGCTCATGTATTGTTAAAGAGATTAACCTCCTTATTCAATACTGATAGGAGCAAAACTGGTCATTTTGAATAGGGTATTCAAATCAGATTTTGCAGTGATAATAAAAATAAACTCTTCGCACTTCAATTTATATCCTCAAAAGCATTGTAAAAAGAGAAAATCCCCCAGACCACCCTGTTTTCCTCCCTTCCTTCCCTTTTCCCCCCTCCCATTCATATCTGCATCCCTGCTTTGCAGTTGAGGGAGTTGATGCACAGCGCGACCTGCTGAAAACACCCTGGCCAACAGTAGGATTAGACCTTGGGTACCCTGGGGTTAAACATCAGGTCAGAGATGCCTTTCCCATCCCTCTACCCAACTTTTTTCTTTAGATGCCACAACAAAACCCCCCAAAAACTCTTCCCCCAAATCCACGCAAAGCCTCTGAAAGGGGATACCCAGCAAACGCTCCCTTCCTTGGCATTGCCATGGGAAAGAGAGACCTCAAATAGATGTAGTAAGGGAAAACTAAGACTGTCTACACCTCAGACTCCACCAGAAGGGAGTGAGCTTGAATAACTTCACATAACCAAGTCATAATTTCTGTCCATTAACAGACAGTAAGATCATTGTGAAAGGGTTCCAAAAACCCAACACGTGCCCTTTTATTTCTGGTTTGGGGGCCTGCAAGATACAGTATGATTGTTTATACGATCTGATGCTCACCACAGGCAATAAGGAGCCCTTCAGAACTATGAGACAGCTGCTATTGACTTACAGCCTCCCAATTCTCACAACTACATCCTTACGGAAAGCACATGGAAAGTATCAGAGGAGGCAACACTTGCAAATGAGGCACCTGTCAGATTTTTTCCTGTTATCCTCAACTCAGAGTACACATACAACTCCAAAAATCAAATGCACCTATATACAGTGCTGATTATGCCAGCTGTCTCATCCGAAACATTTCATATGCTTATTGCAGAACTAGACACAGAAGACTTATAACCTCTGCTAGGAAGTGTAAGGGGCAGGAGTGGGAAAAAAATCACATCCAAAATTGACACCAACAGGTCATCTCAAAACAGCATAGACCTCTTCCTTCGGCTGGTTTATGTGGAAACTGATAAAAATTACTGCTTCAGAAAGGACCTGATGCTACAGTGCCGGTTTAACAGACTACAGACAACTTGGCCTTTTCTCATGGGACTCACCTGCTTTGCAGCACCTAGAAGATCAGAGCCATAAGTAAAACACAACAAGGGAACCTCTCCTTTAGAAGGAATACAGTGGGCACCGCAGACACTAGAGTTTGAGGTGCAAAAGATACTGATAAAGGAGCTGGTCCTCTGAGGTGACTATGATATCTCCTATTTCAGCTACTTAAGTCAATTCTGTTGCATTTTGCCAATACACCTGTATTACTTTAGGACAGTTTCAACTCTCTAACCTGAACAATCAGGATGAAAAGACAGCAGACATCAGCATAACATCTGCATTTTAAGCATTTCTGAAAAAGCTATGAGCTTAAACCATATTTGGAGGCATATTTGGACATCAAAGCCATATGCACTTCAAAAGCAATTTAATTTCCCCCTCCCCCCCGAAAAACATTCCTGAAGGCACGAGTCAGCCACAGAATCACAATAGTTTTAATGACTAATACGTTTACTCATCTCACTGCAGTGAGTATGGGGAAAGCGATGCTCAGGGTATCTCATCTTCGAGGGAAGCAGCCACACACTTGCTGCTGGCCTGGGGCAGGGAGGGAAGGGGCACTCGTGCACCATGCCTGTTCACAGGCAGAAGTGAGCGTGCAGAAAAAAAAAGCACTGCCCAACTTCTTGTCCTGCAAGGCACATTGAGGCATATTTGAGAGAACGGTGAGCCGATGGGTTATGTTCCTTCATGAATTTATTTCTGACACATGTGCAAGTTTAGCCTAGGGTAGGGCATGGGGATGTGACACTAAACCTCATCAGTGGCTAAGTACGGGGAAAGCTGTTTCTTCTGTATGGCTAATCCTCCTCTTAACTTTCCTCTCTGCTCTACTAACCTCATACTCAACTTGCACTGAGGAGATACAAGACCAAGTTTACTGACCTCTGAAGTTACTGCCCTTTTTGGGTTTACTTCTATCCCCCAACCTATTCACCATGCATCTTCAAAGTCCAACTCTACTCCAGACGTGTTTCAGTCTGGCTTTTGCCTCCTGCCATCTTCTGAGCTTGCACCTTGTGAAGTTTCCAAAAATCTTGGGAAGGAAAGTGCTGACACTTCATTCTTGGCCTTTTTTATCTGCTTCCTCATACACTCCAGCGCTGGGACTTTCCTGGGCTGCCATTCTCTGCTTGCTGCTTCTTCAGTAGGCCAGGTTTGGCTGACCCATTGGCTTTCCACTCCTATTTGTAGTGGCACCTCTCTCACGGCCCCACCATCTTTTTGATTAACATCCTGACAACTAGGCAGCCTTATGCAGGGAGGCCAGAGCTGCATCCCCCACCAACACCAAGTTCAAGGCTTATCAGCCTTTAGGAACCACAGCTCACGTACCCAGCACCAAAACCTCCTTCAGTCTCCTTATTCTCCTCTTCTGCAAGCCCTTCCAGTGCTTTGCTGATGCTGCTCCTAATACACAAGGGAGGAAAGAGCAGCAAAAGGAGCACAGGCACAAAAAAACCTAGACAAAACTCATGAATTTTCCACTTTCCATTTTACAAATCCCTCCAAGTCTCTTGCCGTAAGTGACCACTGTTTGGGTTAGAGAAAGAGCTACAGCCAGCACTTAACAGCAGTTAAGAAAATATCTGCTCCAACAACACTGACCCTTTCTCAGTCCTCCCCTGAAGTACTAGAGGGATGCAGGACTATTTTACGCGTACCAGGGACACACACTATCCTCCCTCCTGCTGATGCTGAGCAAGTATAGCCCAGCCCTCTCAGCAAATCTGCACAGATCAAACGGACACAAAATCACAGCCAGAGAGTATTGCAACTGTTAGAGGCTCCTCTATGAATAAAATCACAGTTAGATGCCTCAGTAAACAAGAGGATTTCAGGCTGACTTAGTTATGACTGAGTACGTAGCCTTGCCTAAATAATCCTCTGAGCTGATGGGCTGTAGGCACAGAATGGTATGCAACGGTCATGTTCCCTTCCGTATTTTAGTAGAGGTAAAAGTGAGCACTTGCAAAAATCCCATTCACATACAGAGCATGAGTCCCATGTCTCTCCCATCACCGCAGGACTAAGGGAAGAAGGGAGGCAGACTTTTATGCTACCAAGAGACTTCACCCTCCTGAGAGCTCACTGTGATAATACAGTGGCTCTGGATTAGGGTATTTATTTCACTGGGGGTGGTTCACAGGTTGAAATTACACCCCTGGTCTCATATGAGTTTGTGCTAATATTAAATGCTTCCTCTCTAGAAAGCTATTGCACAGGGCAGGCAGAGGGGGAGGACATGCTGCTGGAGACGGCTCTCATAGGAACTGAGGAATGCAAGCTATGATCTCAAACCAACCTCACTTCTCCAGGCAAATCTTTGCTTGCCAGAAAAGAAATCTCTATCCCAGCTCCTAAGGTCTGTGCTGGCAAGGCAGGGTGGGAGACAGCTGCTTCCAAGAGACACAAGAAAGCAGAGTTACTACTACACAGGCTGTGTCTCCTGAGAGCTGAAGGATAAACACATTTTAACAACAACAATTTACCAAATCCAGACCAAGAACGGTCAATGCCAAGAGCAAGCACTAAAGAAACAAGCGTCACTAGCTACAGCACTGGCTTGGAGCTGTCAAAAGTCTGCCTGGCCAAGGCTGCTTGCCCAGCAAGACAGGTAGGAACCACCACTGCTCAGGGCCAACATCTACAAGCTCCATGTTGCATCCAGCCCTTCTGCTCACCAAACCACAGGGCAGAAAATCCTCTGCAGACATTTAAAAAGGACTAGTTTTAGCAGAAGACAGAGCCAGACACTTCAACTGCTGTAACAAAAACTCCTTTAAAAGACCAAGTGCAAAGGGTTAAACCTACTTTACCTAAAAATTACACTACTGCAACTACTCTGAATACCACTGCTCTGAATGACCTAGGTTTAAAAGTTTCAGGACTTGTTCTGCAAACTTAAGAGCAGGTATGGGGTCTAGGAAAGTTCAAAGTGCTACCCATAAGCAGGGGGATTCTGCAGGAAAAACATGAGCTTTGCTCATTTCCAGATGTGCAGATCAAAACTCCTTAAGTCTATTCCAGGAAAAAAAGAAGTGATAAGTTAACCAGCTTTTGCTCTGTGGGCAATCCAAAGCTTTAAGGTTATTTGTAATTCAGGGACAGGAGCAGCAAGCTAGAGATGGCACAGTTTGTTTTTCAGGTATGCTGTCTGGTTAAAGAATGAATTTCTGAACGGAAAAGCAAAGCAATGACCAATACACAGGAAATTCCAGAAAAGAAAGCTGAGTTACAGCATTTCCCTCCAACTTTAAAGTACAAAGCAAGTAAAGTTTTACAGAGCTACAGATCAAACAGGGAGAAGTCAGGCCAAATACTGACAGGCAACATTTAAGTGAAATTACCATGCAGAGATGGCCAAGAGGTCTTTTGGCTGCAGGAAAGACAAGCAGCAGCTTCTTTCAGAGACTTCTGATTGTAAGGATTAAGTACCTTGGGCCAACAATGCACAGTGATCCATTAATCCCACCCTTGACTAAGCATCTGGAATCAAAGTCCCATAAGCTTTTCAACCCCCTACTGCTCTGATCCCTTTAGCACCTGCCTCTTTGAAGTGTGCTTTTCTTTTTACTTACAGCAGGAGCTGAGGAAGATCGACGCATACACAGCAGCTGTCTGTAGAAACCTCAGTGCTGAGAGCTTGCTAGGAGAGCCCAATGGATGCAAGCAGCACAAACGTTTCATCTCCTTACCCAAATCCCCTTGCGTTTATGCATTTGGACACCACTGAAGCAGGGCCATGGCAGATGTTGGCCAGTCTTACCTTGAGTGGTTTAGGACCATGCGACTTGTGCCCATCGCTCATCGTTGAGGGTCTCTGATTTACCACCGTCAACAAGTGGCGTTGGTGGACTAAGGCTTCCTTGAACTCCTCTTCCGTTTTGGTTTCTAGGAGTTTCTGCCGAAAGGTTATGTCCGAAAACATTGTGGCAAAGGTCCTGCCCACTTCTGTAGCTGTTTTTGTACTTTTCTGAGTACAAGAAAAAAAAAAAAGACATAAAAAGCCTCGTAAAAGTATTTTCTTTCACTTCTGAAAGGTAAACCCACCGATTTACCCCATTGGGCACCATGTGGAGAGCAAGCTGCCCGGCTTCCAGGACCCCAGAGACACCCGATGGAGAAGGACACCTGTGGAAGCTGTTGCAGCTGAACACAGCAACTGCAGCAGAATCCTGTGAAGGCATCAACATACAGGCCCTGACCAGAAGCAACGATCAGTCTTAATTGATCAACTTCCCAGGACTCGATCCAAAGCTAAATCATGCTGAGTATGCATTTTATCCCTGGTCTCCCTTCAAGGCTGCTATCCTACAGCATCTCAGCATTACTGCTACTGGGGTAGAAAGATGCTGTCGTCAAAGTTCCTGCAGGTAAAAGCATCCTGATGTCATTTCCAGAAGACTGAGATTATTGTGCACATCTGCTTCATCAGCTTCCTATTTTCTGGGCATTAAAACTCAATTCAGTTGGCCTCTCTGGGGCAATTCTGGCAGCAAAAGAGGAGATTTAGAGCTCTCAGCTAAAGTAACTACCAGCACAGAGGAAAGCATAGGGAAGAAGCAGCTGAGCACACACACAAGCAGCCCTGTCTAGCTTCACTAAATGCTCGGAAGGGACAAGAGACTTGCAAACACAAAAAAAGGAACAAGTGCCTGTTTACAGGCTTTAACATTTCTGTGAGCCACAGCCCTGATCTTACAGGGTTCAGCTTCAACAATAGCCAAGCCCACTTTCCTATTGCTTCAAGCACCTTGGAAATTAGATACAAAGGGAACAGTAAAGGAGACTGAGCTCCCCATTCCCACACAAATCCAAGCTCTACAAACCCTGACCAGCTCAACTGCTTGTACCACTCTGGTCAGGACAGATAAGATACTTGCCAAGGCAAAGTTATGTAGAACCATAGTTCATTAAGAGCTCCTTTTGATGCAAAGTTTTAACCCACCCACCTTAGCTACATTCAACACTCATCATGCAGCAACTGCTAGAGACACCCAAACAACCACCCGCCTTTGGACAGCCTCCAAGCTCCTCATGTTACTGTGAAAAGTAGTAGCAAGCATATGCGATTGATCCAAATTAGTTTTCATGATTCATAACAAAGCAGATGAACAATTTCTTCGGGAACACAACCAAATAATTCAGTGTTGCCTGACGCAGAGGCAGGGACATGTGGGTGGCACTGCACTAGTCTCAAAGTCATCACTAACGCTATACTCGCTCCATCAGACTGCCCTGCCTCCACCTCTCCTCCATCACAGGGAATGTCCCTTTAGATATGCTTGCTAGGACATGTTTAATTTAAGTTTCTACTGAAGGGTTTGGATTTAAGTGAACATAATCTGCTCTGGGAGTTGCTTTTAGAGTTTATAAGCTTGGTCCTTTCAGATTGAACCAGCCTGGATTTGCCACCACAGAGGAGGCTTCTCCTTTCACCTCCAAGAAGCAGTGGTCCTTGGGCTGGATGCTGCAAGGGGTTACTTCAAGCTGCCCAATGCTGCTCCCTTTCTTTGCTCTCCCAGAGATAGATGAAGGGTGCAGAGGAAGAGTGCAGAGACTTGCAAGAGAACTCAAGTTTTTTTCCATCCTCTATATTAGAGAAGGCCAAAGATCTGGATTCCTCAGCACAACAGATGCCCGTTTTCTGGGCTTTTTTTTTTTCTTCCCTCCCCAAGCAAGACTCATTTAGTCTGTTACTGTCAGCAGGTTAATTATTTTAACTGCTGTACCAGAAATGCGTACTTAGAGCTGGCTAGATAAACTTATTTAAAATAAAAAGCATATTGGCAACTGCAGATCTGCTTGGCCTCCACTCCCTTTCCTTAATTTGATGCTGTCCGTTGGAATTGCAAACTTTCAGGATACAAGCGGATGCAGAGCTGTTTGCTGGGTGCTTTGCACGTAGCTGGCCGGAGGTAAGCAGACCACCATACAATGAAAGAGATCAATGCAATTGCGCACAGGTTCAGTTGTTTGCCTGTTGCTTTTCATAAGGAACACCAATATGTTTTCAGTCTGTTGGGTTTGAGATCTATGCCAAAACCA